TTAATATAAAAAATTATGATTTTTATAATATTAAAGTCATATATAATAAATTAAATAAATCTATTTTTATATAATAATAATATCATATATAAATATATTTTTTTGTATTTTTTATTAGATTTAAATAGATAACTTACATATAAAATATAATAATATATTATTGACTAATAATAAAAAATAGATAATAATTAATATCTTACTTTTCTGAAGCTATTTTTATAAATAATAAATAATATTATACAAGTAGATTATTCTGATTTTAAGAGTTACTGAGAATATAATTAAAATAATATTATTTAATTGGAATTAGTATAATAATAAGATATTTATTTTATATAAAAGTCTTGAGCTATCTAAATTATAATTAAATGAAAATATCAAAATACTTTTATATATATATATATAATACTAAAAATAATAAGATAAAATGATAACTTTCTATATTTTTTTATAATAATTTTTCTTTAAATATAAATATATAATTTTCAAATAATAGCTTTTCTAAATATTAAAGAGCTTGAAATATTATTATAATCAAGAAAAATAAAGAAATATTTTTTATAAATTATTAAATAATATTATCTTTTATTATTATTATTTTTATTATCAACTTATTAATATAGAAAATAATAATATTATTCTATATTTTTCTAAAATTTTTCTTAATAAATCATACTATTATTTATATTATATATCATAAAATATATATATTTTTTATTAGAATATTATTTTAATATTATGATGTAATCTATTATTAGTAATCTTTAAAGTAATTACTATTTTTTAAAATAATAACTTTAATAGAGTATATAATAAGTTTATTTTAAATTTTATTTATATTTAAGATTTAGTAATTAAGTCATTTAGAACTTGAGAACAAAAAAGATTATTACAAAAATTTTAATATTAAGATTTTTAAAAGTTTTTTTATTAAATTTTATAAGATAATTAACAAAAAATATGATATAATAAATATTTATATAAATAGAATATATTATTATAAATAATATATTAAAAATATATTAATATTAAGTATAAAAAAAAGAAATAGTTGACTGATTAGCTTCTCATTAAATTTTTTTTCTAATAAACTTTGTCAATTAAAATTTTTAAAGCTCATTAAGAAAAATAAAGAAAAAAGTCTATTTATTTATATTAAAATAATTAAGAAATATAATCATAAGATTTTTTTACTTCTTCTTATCATTATAAATTTTAGTTATTTAAGAGAGCTTAAATAATAATTAAGAATAAGATTGCAAAGTTAGATTTATATTTAAATCTTTTAAATATTAAAAATAAGTTATTATATATTTTTAAAGAAAAAATAAATTCAAAGATAATAATTAAATTTTAAAAAAAATTATTTGCAAAACTAAAAAATATCAAAAATTAGATAATAATATAATTTTATTAGATAATAAAACTGATAATAATAATAATCTTGAAAGTAATAATGAATTATAATTTTTTTTAGTATAAAATCCAAATATCTATTGAATATTTTTGTTTTAAAAAAAATTTATATATAATAAAAATTTTTATTAAAATTTTTTGAGATATAAATCTTTTTATATCAAATTATACTATATAATATATTAGAGAATTAATATTCTAATTATGACAAAAAAAAGTATTAAATTATATAATTTTTTAAGAGAAAATCAATCAAATTACAAGATTAATTACAATAAAAAAAATTCAAATCAAATATTTATTTTTGAAAAATAGCTTATATCTCAAAATTTTATTTATAAAATTACTTTTTTTATTTATAATTCTAATTACATTTTAATCTTAATTATAATAATTATTATTATTATATTTATGATCTTGTAATTTTATTGATTTATCTTTTAAAAAATCATATAATTTGATACTTTTAAGATTTAATCAATTAAATTATTATTTTTATTAAATATATGTAATTATACATAAAATTTAGTCAATTAGAAATACTTTTCTAATCCTTAAAATTTATTTTATTTATTATTAATTTTTATTTAAAGTATTTACAAAAAAATTTAATTATATAATAAATTTTAAGATATTTTTATAAAAAATACATTAGTTTATAAATCTTATTAAAGATTATTTAATAATATATTTTTTTTATTATTATATTTTTATTTATAATGTCTTTGTATTTTAAAGGATTAAATATCCTTAGAGAATTTGTATCATATTTTTTTGAATATTTATTTTTAATTATACATTAAAAAATATTTTAATATTAAGTTAATTTTATATTTTTAAAATTTATAATTTATAGTTTAATATATTTTTTTTTAAATTTTCTGAATGAGTTATTCTAAGTATAAAGTTATTATAATTAAAATAACTTTTTCAGAAAAAATTTGAAAAAATATATATTAAACTATAAACTTTAACTATATAAAGAAACATTTTAATTTTCTATATTTTATTAATAAATTTGACTCTTTGATGCATTATTTTTGGCTATTACTATAATTTTATTTATATTATATTTATAAAAAGATTTGCTAATCTTTTAATATATTACTTTAGCAATTATTGTAATTAAATATTATTTATATTTTTAAAGATTTTAATCGTATTTGATAAATTTTTAAAAAATATTTAAATATATTATTATATTTTTTATTTATATTTTTATATAGTCTAATTACAATATAATAATTTTTTATTATATTAGAATATTTATTATTATATAATTTTGTATTTTTATTTTTGTCTTTATTTTTGTTTAAATTTTATAATTAATAATTAATACTTATTTAATCAAATAAGATTACAACCAACAAAGATCCCGATGCATTCGTTGAAGAATAGAATGCCACCTTTGTTTCATCAACGTAGTAATGGATCGCATGAATTCATTTATTAATAATTTCTTCATTATAAATATTATATTCGCCATTTTTACTTTATGCTTATCTTTTTGTGTTCATCAAATCTTGCTAATTTTAATGCAATATTTATTTTTTTTGGTTTTTTATCTAATTTTAAATATAATTTAAATAATATATTTTTCTTTTTACCAAAAATATATTATATTTCTGATATGAATACTATTCACTTATATTCGTTGCACATCTTTTATTTATGGAACATCATGCAACAAAATTTTCAGAATAACGCCAAGAAGGTCAGTAAAATCAAAAAAGCGCAAGCCCCATTAACGTTGTAAAGATCAAGTATTTTTTTTTAATGGATGTAACACAATTATTATTGTTATTTAAATTTTTATCTAATTTTAAATATAATGTTTAGATATAAATACTATTCACTTAATTTTTCTCAAATTTATGACAATTATAAATATGGAAAAAACCAAGAGATATCGATATTCGTTGTGCATTCAGAATAACGCCAAGAAAGTCCATTCATTAAAATCAAAAAAGCGCAAGCCCCATTGACTTGTAAAGATCAAATTAGGAAAAAGTAATTTTTTTATAATGGAGGGTTTGATTGTAACACAGTTATTATTGTTATTTAGGGAATACTTTCATTATGAAAATCATTGAACATATAATAAACGATTGCATAAAGCTATTCGAGAATATATGGGATAAATAAAAATTTTAGCTCGATTGATATACCAGCCATTTTACCTTTATATTCTTTTATACTAGATGCATGTGAAGTCTGTGCAATATCTGCACAATTTGTATTGCGCAGACTAATTTTAAATACCGTTCTAGATCTTCCCCAAAATGTTTAATCTATGCAAGTAAAATCAAGTTTTCGTTTGTTCCTTTTACATTATTTCTCATAAATAGTTTATTTTTCGCTGTTTGTCCTATGATGTGTTTGGCCAAGCGGGCCAAAGCAAACTTTAAAACTATAAGAACTTGAAACAAAGAAATTCGCCCAACGTACAATCTAATGTTACCAAGATTCTATTAGGTAATATCCTATTTTTATGGTAATTTTCATCGTCGGGGGAACGTGCATCGTTACTAGAACTTTTTTTATGCGGGTAATGTAGCATAATATGGGAAAAATATTTTCAGGTGTATAAATATTTGGGCTTCGATCCCTCATGATGGTTTCGCACGTACCGCATATGCGCATAATCTGGAGATCGATCCAACCAAAAAACGAAGTAGCTTTGCCCTGTATCACAAAATTAAAAAATGCAGGCATTTTATTACATTCCCGTAATGATTATAAATGCATTTTTTCATCGGAAGATGAATTTTAGAACAATTACTCATCAGACCGAATTGTTTATGTCCCTGGGTACTCGGGTGGGTTTGTGAAATCTCTTGGTGAAATACCGAGACATTTTTTCTTTTAAACTGATTCACCGACCGGGATGTTAATCAAATACGTTTGCATGGATGCAACCCAAATCTCATATCCGGATGTGTTTGTGAGAGTGTGGGGGTATTATTTAAGCAAAAAATTCCTCATTTGCTGTTAGAAAAAAATTAAATATTCTAGTATCAATGGGTTGTACGCTGATTAAGTATGCGTGAATGCGATCACGAAAAACTCAAAAAAACTCAAATTTTTTCTGTATATGAAGATCGATAACGACCGCTCATCTCAATAAAATATAGCAGTTAAGATAAAATAAAAATATAAAATATAAAATATAAAATAAAATAAAAATATAAAATAAAGTAAAAATTAATTGCGTCACATCATTTTTGGGAATTGGACAAGAAAGAATTATAAGACAATCACTCATTGAAAAACGGCTGTTTTGATGTATATACGTATACATACATAATATATATATATACTATATACTATACTCGCGGAATATCTTTTTGAGAATAAAAATGAACTTGAAGGAAGAACTGTCACAACCGGTAACACGTAAAGATTTTCAACGTCTAGAACGAACAATTGAAGAGTTGGTATCGAAATTAGGGAAAGCGAATTTTGAGCATAGTAATGACGAGGGACATGATTATGATACTTCAACGACGAAAAATTCAATCATTATCGACCTTCCCGTATTGGGAGATATAAATGACACTAATGAATCCGCTGATAAGTCAAAGTCACCACTCGGTCAACTTCTAAATCACACTTATCCTGACTCGGTGGTGGATTTGGTGAATAAGATTTCAACCAATTTCCCCAAACTTCCTTTTAATTTTTCTCCCGGATCATCATCAACTTCGACAAAATCAAAACCGGTTGAAATTAAAGCAACAGTGGCACCACCGTCTCGTGAACTTTGTCGACAATTAATTGAGGATTATTTCAACCTATTCAATGTATATATCCCAATTCTGGATCGTCGAAAATTCATTGATCATTGGCGTGATAAATCGAATAAACAATCACAATTGTTGGTGAGCTCTGTATTGGCAGTCGCAGCCACTCGATTCTCCGATGATCCTTCAATTCAGAAAAGTCCATCAAAACCTGGTGGTGTGTTTTACGATGCTGCAAAAGTATGTGTTTGTTATTATCATTCTCCTCCTCCTCCTCGTGCTCCTCAAGTGGCTGCGCTAATTATTTATTTTAATCTTTCTCTATTGATGATTTTAGTCATTACTTGACACAATGTACGATATACCTAAAATTGAGACATGTCAAGCGTTAATTTTATTAGCGAATACACAAAACAGTCTAGAACGTCTTGATACTGCAACTATGTATACTGGAATGGCTGGTATGTTGTTGTTGTGGTTCTTCAATGATTTCTTTTGTTCGAATAATCAGGTTAATATTAATAATCATGTTAATCAATATTATTTATTTAATATTCCAATAATAAAGTTCAAATGTCAAATGTACTAAGATTATCACAGAACGAATCAACAATGTCACCGGAAGAAGATGAAGAAAGGAGACGCGTATTTTATTGTATATATTGCGTTGATAGGTATGTGTTTTAGTTGATGATGATTACATCACGGTGATTTTGTCAAGTTCACGAACTAATTAATTGTTATCCTTTTTCGATCATCTAAAATGACATAACAAATGATATAATCAAAAGATGGCAATCGTTCGTGTTTGGTAAACCCTATATGATCGATGACATAAACATCAATATTCCCTTACCAACATTACCATCCGCAAACCAACTAATACGAAACTTCTTTGTGGCATTCGTAAAACTTTCGCGAATTTTGGGGCAAATATGGAAATTCGGATATTCGTCACAACCGAAAGCAACACATTCAGCTTGGGTAGATCATGCATCGGATCAGAAGAGTACTTTGCGTCAAATAAGAGGAGCTTTAGCGAAATGGTTACAAGAGTTACCGGAGGATCTCCAGTATCAATATTTACCATCCACCGATCAGCGTACGATATTTCAATTGGCGAGTTTTACAGCTTTTGCCGGACACATAAATATTATGTTCCATACTTGTCTAATTCTGTTACATCAACCATACATCACACGATTGGATAACAACAATACCTACACAAAAGCTTCAATGAATAGCAACTTCCCTTCATTCTTATCGGCAGGAGGCAAATCAAAAAATTCATCAATTCTGCATAAAGGGCCGGTGAAAACGTGTTTAACAGCAGCGGTCACGATCACAGACATTGCAAAGGTGACACGTCAACTGGACAAGCACGCCTATAGAAATTTCCACTATTCAATCTACGGAATATTTCAGTCCGCCATCTTGGAGTTAGTGATCATGAATGGTTCACCAGAATATTCGCAGAACGCCAAGAAAGCATTCAATGACACGGTGGAAGAATTACGATACGTTGGAGAGAGTAGTGGCGTCTTTCTCTTAAGAGATTCGGTGAAAGAGTTGGAAGGGTTGGTGCAGATTGCTAATGGTGGATCATCATCTTCTGGAACCGAATTTATGGTTCCATTCAGATTGGCGGCTCAATGGTTAGATAATTCGGTTATAACAATGGGAGCATCGGGAATCGGAATGGGAATGAACAACAATAACAACAACAACAATAACAATAACAACAACAACAATAACAACAACAACAACAACAACAACAACAATGACAACAACAACAACAATGATAATGATAAAAATAAAAGGAAAAATAAAAGCAATAACCTAATACATTCTATAAACCATTCAACATTGAACCCACCGATTAGCGCAAACAGCAACCGAGACAGTAATCAAAGTAATAATGATAGTAGCCGAGAATCAACTCCATTAACGACAACACCCGATTCTTCCACGAATACATTGATAGATGATAATGATGATTTTCCAAAATTTGAGATTAACACTGTTACTGCTGCCGCAGCACTTGCCAATAATAACCCCGTAATGAATATGAATATGACACATGATAATAATAATCCTTCAACATCTTCGCATAAACGAAGATTATCCGCATCAGCACCGAATTATCAGCATCAGCGTTTATTTCAAAAACAACAGCAACAATCACCGTTACCATCAAGAACACAATCAAAGCATTTGCAACAATTAGCTCAGTCAGATATGTATCTCTTATCGACAAATGCTTCATTATTTTCACAAAATCAACCATTGCATTTCCATCCTCAACATATGCAACATCTTAACAACAATAATAATAGTATTAATAACAACAACAACAACAACAACAACAACAACAATAACAACAACAACAACAACAACAACAACAATAATAATAATAATAATAATAGTAATAATAATGACAATGATGATGAGATTCATCAACAGCATCATCAAATTCCACATGCATCGGCAAATACTACACAAACGTGGGATCAGTACATTTTAACGGGTGAGGATTTATTTTTCGGATCCTCGACTGAAGAAGTCACATCCCCTAATGAATTAACAGCAAATATTAGTGATAATGTAATTGATATTAATAATGAAACCATTGGTACGGGGTTTACTGGAACTTCAATGTTAGTTGATGATGAGATATTATATTCGTCGACAGGAGGTTGGAATCATGGATGACATGATTTAGAGTTTATTTTTTGGGGGGGGGGAGGGGAGGGGAGGGGATGAAGCTATGGACATTCACTATTAATTTTATTATATATGTACATGCGTTGTTACATTGATGTTTAATGAATAGAAGTTAGATTATCTCCTCTGTGTTGGCGCTATTCTTATTTAAATATCAATTATCATAATAATTTAATGTTATGTTATCATCTCTCTCAAAAAGGTTTAGTCTTATTTTAATTATAGGAAATCTAAGCTGATTACTATGGTCTAATCTAAATGTGGCTTGATGTCACAGCTTCACGTGAGTGACGCCGAGTTACTTTCATATCCACAAGCGAAAAATTAAAATTCCAATACGGGCAAAACTTTGTTTTTCATTGACATTAGGCAAACTCTATTTTGATCTCAAACATTTGTCGATTTTTACATTTTTGCCCAGCTAGAAACAGATAAAAATCCAATTTATCATGTTCTTCTGGTTCGCAAAATCTCCCAATTGAATTAAGCTAACGGAATACGCTTCTAACCAGAGTTTCTAACGCTAAGGTGATTGTGTCATAAAATTTAGCTGAATTAAATTTATCATAAATGTCCCTATAGCCAATTCTGTTAATTTTAATGGTAAAAGTCATTCAAGTTGTGGATGGAATAAAAGTTACCCAAATCAACTAATCAGAGTTCCTAAAATAATGATTTCCATGGTTAATTCGTCATATCTACAAATTGATGCCGTTAGTTCAGAAGGTAATAATAATAGAAGAGCGTATTTTCATTATTTAATTCTTCCTATCTTATTTTCTCAAAATATATCTTTCACGAAGTATAAAAGAGTATTTTATATTATAACGATCATTAAAATGGGAGGTTATTATTGAAAACTACTCTGATACAAATGGAATAGATTGTCTCTGATATACAATTCATTCCTCTTCATCATCATCTTTATTTTTCTCATCATCAATCCCTTTTTAATCTTATCTTTATCATTCTCTTTTTAACTCCCGTAAGGGATAAGTTGTCACACATATAAACACTCTTGAAACAAACTCGCATATAAACAGAAGTAGAAAATGTCTCTAAATAGTACATTAATAACATAACTGATGTTGTGATGGGAATGTGCTGAACGACATTTATGGAATCTCTTTACGTAAGGTGAACCTACCAACTTTCGTACACTCTCACGAAATAAGATACACAAAATGGGAGGGTACACGAAATTTATCTTAGTGCATGTACCGAGTATTTACCAGGTTTTTGACATTTACCGAAGTTTTGATTGGAAAACCTGTGCACAAACCTGGCTTGGTGTATTAGTAAAAAATGTTCAGAAGAAAATTTACGTATCGTCGATATAGCTTGAATTTCTGCTTGCATAAATGTGAGAAATCAAATTTTCGTTTAGCATTTTCTTGAGCATCCTAAGGGTTTAGAACTTGACTTAATGTCTATTATCAACTATAGAGGTCCAAGATAAACCGCACAAATATCGCGTCAGCAGAACCAGAGGATTTTGAGAAACAGTTAGAACGAATTGGATGTTCTTATCGAAATATCATCTGTATATAAATATTACGCTTTCCGTTGGCCCTTCAGTGAGAAACAAGATTAATAACAATCACGCATAGAAATTTTTCTTTGTTAAAATAAATCGTACTAAAATAAAAACACGTAAAAATAAACTAAGTGTTACTAGGGTAAAGATAAACTAGCCCATCTATTATAAATGATTTTTATCTAACTATAATTCGCAATCTTTGATCAATGCTCTTTAACACTGCTTATGTTCCATAAGGTTCGGACCTGTCCTCGAACCCATTCTCGCCTAATAAGCGGGTCTCAAACAAACGTGTTTACGGGTTCATAGCTTTATAAAGTGTAAGAGATGATACGAACAAGCTAATATAGTCGGATCTTTATTCGTTTTTGCAGATAAACATTCATTTTTCACGCAGACGAGCATTTCGGCAACGATTTGGTGTTTATCAGTCAATGCTATAAACAAAGCTTCCTTAAAAAATGAAAATCTGAACTTATCAAATAACACATAAACCTTCCTTGATTATTAGACAACCTTGTTATAATCGATAGTACAGATGAAGTCTGGGTTCGGCATAGTATATAGTACAAGCTTTAAGAAACTATCGAATCGTATTACAATAAAAAATCTTACACCCTTAGTTACTTTTCATTTCGCTCACATCATCACATAGTTTTCTGAATATCGAGATTTGAAAGGCGCAGTTTTTCTGGAAAATTTGTGATTAACGATAAGTATTGGTCCGTTAACTTTTTGGTGCATGTTTTTACAAAGGGATGATATGTCTCTCAGATAGAGCTCGCATTCTCGGTGCATTTAAAGGAGTCTCATTCAAATGTTTTTATATCTATCGTTATAATTAATTTTGTTGCATTCTTTTATTAGAAGTGCCTCGTCTTTTGTCTTACGAAACTGGCTTGGCTTTTTTCGTAACCAAATGGAAGGAGGTAATGTGGAAGATGGAAAACTGCTAGTTGGAGAGTATGCGATACCAAATGAACAAATTTCTTGCAAGTCTTCAGTTTTACCACTAATCTAGTGGATTTGGGTCAAAATCCCGACGAACAGAATCCCGAAAAAAATAATCACAATCCCGAAAACAAATCCCGACAAACACAATCCCGAAACAAAATCGCCGAAAGCATATTAGCCCGAAAAACTAAATCCCGAAATTTCTTTTTACAAAAAATATTCCTTGCGAAAATTTATATGTCATGTGTTCGTTCAATATAACCTTTACCGATATGGTTTTGCAAATTTGGCGGTTTATTAATAAGCTTTACGTCTACGACTGTGAGGCCGACAACTTTATATATACATATGTTTAATAAGAGATTAGGGTTTACTTGATATACTCCCGTTTGGTAGTGGACCTAAAATTATGGACATATTTATTGTAGAAAAAAAATTCTTCGATATACGATTGCAATTCAGTCGGAAAGTTCTATCGCGGCATCAAAATGTTAAACGTCGACACCAATAACGAGTATATTTTCTTCACTTTATCCGTCTGTTGGTAAGGATTTGTTAGGAAAAATCCACACTTTGTGCTTTTGTCAAAGAAACCGTTACAAAGAAATATAATTCCAATTTCTCATTATAAAAAAAATGTTTTTAAATTATGATTTAAATTAACACTGAAAGTTTTTCACAAATTGGAATATATTATTGCTCTTTATGTTTTAGCAATTATTGAGAGTGTTTATGCAGGTGAAAAATGCGAAAAATGCCAAATTGTCCACTAAATAAGCCAAGCACGCTGCTAACTCAATACCACCAAACTCTAATAAAAAACCAATAGAGTAAGACTTTTCAACGAAATTAAACTAGCAGCACCCAAAATTGATATTGCAAACCAATGACACAGAAAATCTGCCACACATCTTCCATCACTTATAATTAACACGAGAAATGGGATCGAGAGTTGTGTATTTAGCATCGTTAGGATGTCAAGTACATCACTTTGAAGGTGTTGTCGCAGATGGTCTGATAGATGTCGTAAATCTTGCCTACCTAATTTAATAATTAAAATGAATTAAAATAGCCAAAAAAAAATCAGAAAATCAGGAGTATAAAATTTCCAACTTCCAATTTCTCTTTAAGTTTTGACCAAAAATTTTAACTTCACCAATTCCGCTGCATTCTTAACACTCCTTCACATGGAAACGACATCAAAAATTTAGAATAAAAAATACCGATTGCTAAAATTAGGAACAAAAATGTCTTTACTAGTGTTAAATTCGATTCGTTGTCTGTCGTAAGTCTTACAAAAATTCGTAATATCACGACCACATCTGATGCTATGCACAATGATAAACATATTCTAGAAACCACCTATGTTACAATTAAAAGTTAATCATTTTTTTTTTTGATTCAAAGAACTGGGGATGTTAGTACATGTAGAACTTACGTACCGATAAGTTATATTGTATCACCACAAGAAGGATTGACCCAATTATCCAGTAGATATTCATAAAAATAAAAGAATGCCACATAAGGTACTTTAATGCTTTTTGTGCCGCTAACAAATATAGATTTGGGCGCGGCGGTGGACCCGGAGTTGTTTCTTCTTGTACCTTCTCATCAAATTTGCTAATTATGTCTGCCAGTGACGTTATCGAATCTTGTCTTTGAGTTTTTGGTAATTCGCCTATTTTTTTATTTAATTAAAACTTGGATGGATTAACACAGTATTGGAAATTTATTCATTATGGGTCTCTCATAAAAATTTTACCTTTTTGAGATTCGGTATCACTCATAATTTTTTCATCAAAAAGAATAGAATATACACACAAAATTTATTAAAATTTTATTTTCTATTTATACATTTATGCATGAAATGATGTCATTACCGCAAAATTGTTTAGTTACACGGAGTTTTCCTTAGAATCGAATTACCACATACGGTTTCAATGTTTATCGTGTATTTACGTGATTTTCACTATTTGTTTCAATTAAATCAAGAAATCTCGTCCAGATTTTCTCAAAGTCAAGATCTCCTTCATAGAAAACCATTATTCCCGGATTCTCATCCTCGATGTTCTCGAACCGTAATCCCAAATGATTATAAAAATTATTCATATGTTCGGTAATCCGATTTCCGTATTGACGCAGAATCGCGTTTCCCGTCGTCGGATTAATCTGATCCAATTCATCTTTAATTTCCTCTTGATCTCGCGTGGGAATCGATTGACAGAGCAATTGAAGAACGGGAGTTACGTCATCGTGTGGAAATGTTATTTGCATGACGTGTTTCTCGTTAAGTAGGTTTGGAATAAAAGCTGCTAGGACGAATTTGTGTATTGTTTTCTGGAGCGAATTGGTCACCTCCTTGAGTTCTGTTGCGCACTAATTAGGAAGCATAATTAAAGATAGATATCAGCGCGATTTTTTATTTTCAGTTTTTGAGTCTTTGTTGGAGGAAAAATATTTGACCTTGAGCTCAATAGTTGCTTGGAATTCTTCGATTGAACTTACAGATGCTTGTGCAGTTTCGCCGCTATTATTGGGTAGAGTCGTTAAGTCTCTCATGGAAAATTTAATTTTTGGCAGCTTTTTGTATGGATTTATGATTTGTGTAAATAAAAAATTTAACTGTTGGACATGTCGAGAAAAGCATAAAAAAAACCTTGAATACTTTGTGGAAAATCATGTTCGGGCGCAACATCGATAACATAAATTTTCTTTTGATGTATTTCGAGTAGGTAGGAAATTGGGCTCTTGCTTTAAAAACAAAAAACGAATAATTGAAGAAAGAATTTGCTTGATTTATCGTCTTTATATATTAAAAACCTGCGTTACTATTGTTTTCAATCGCTTATTATTTAAAGTTGTAATGACTCAATGTTTAAGACACGTATCTTCCATTGTTGAGTTTTGTGTATTATTAAAGAATGAGAATAGTATAGATATCATAACGATAAATCTAACTCGTAAAGTATTTTTCCTTGTGTTCCTTATCGTTATCTCTTCTTTACAATCAAAAGATCCACAAGATGAATCTCCTCGTAAGTATCTATGTAAACTTCTTGAAGATTCTGCGATTATGGTTATGAAAAAAGATGATGATAGTAAGGATGAGTTTAGAGAAAGGTTATGCTTTGAATGTGATTATGTTTTATGTGAAACTAACGTTATTGAATAAAGCAAATTTGTACGCCATATTTGTCCGTGCCTATCTTCTTAACTATAATATGAATTCAAACGCTTGAATACTAGGCTATAGGCTTGAGGATGCTGAGGTTGGTATGCTGTAAGGCTATTGTTGTAATGGTTGATTATACTCATTCGATAAATTATTTAAAGACTGCATAGTTTTTATTCGATACAAATTTGTTTTTTGCCATTTCAATATTCGGAATACAAATGACATCGAATACACCATTTGAAATTCTATCATTAATAGCAAAATATAGTCCGGTGCAAAAAGATTGGTCATCAAATAAATATTAATAGATTATTTTTTCAAAATAAAATTTTAATTCTGTCTTATTTATTTAAGTTATTAGGTATTAGGATTTATTTGAATGTAAAAATTTTTATTATATATCTTTTATAAAAAAATTTTACTAATATAAACTTTTTATTTCTTAAATTTTATTATATAAAATTTGATTAAAATTAATATAAATATTATATAGTAAATACTGTAATTTAATTACTAAACTTTGAATCTTAATATCTTTATAACTACTGATTCAATTTTATGAAATTTAGAATATATATTTATCAAATCTAGAGCAACCTGCTTGCATAGTTTAAAGTTCTAATCTTGCAAATTGATAGTGATAATA